TTTTTTTTTTCTTTTTCCCCCCCCCCCCCCCCTCCCGCCACACTGCTTTTCTCTTCTCTCATCTCGCGAAATTTTTAGGCACGTGAATTTCTAGAATGCTCTAAAGCCGCGCCCGCGCCCCTCTTGGTAAATGTATGTATATATATAATTGGAACGCGTTTTTTTTTCCTTCCTTCTTTATCTCTACTTCACTATGTACACCCATGCAAAACACGCACCCGCCCGCCATATCACGTAACTATCACACAAGACATACACTCGCTCGTAAATGTCACTTGAAACCTGACATTTCGTAAAAATCTATGTACAGACCTGTATATATGCGGATTCTTTGATTATCGAGAGTCGTACGAATTATGGTAATAATTATAGTAGCTTTAATATTAATTAGTAGTAATATATGCATCTGCGTACCAGCACACCCCTCTCCCCAGCCCTTGCTCGCTATGATTATTTTTTTCCACATTTTTCTCATTTCGCCTCGGTCCAATAAACGGCAGAGCTCCGAGCTCTGACAGGTCAAGCGATTTTGCGAATGCGTGCTCGTTAATACCCGATAAGTGAACAGATCGAGTGAATCGAGATAGATATACATAAAGAGAGAAAGAGACGAGAGATAGTGAAAGAAGAAAAAAAAAAATGAGACAGAATGAAAACTAACGCTCGCTAATTTCACTCTATATCGAGTGAAATTCACAATAATTTTTTTATACAAATTTTCCTATTTATTTATTAATGTATGTTACGCGTGTATATATATATATATATATATCCTATATCGTTTCGTTATTATCGATGACTCGTTGCGTCGCGGTAAGTCGCGAGGACGAAGGGCAATTTATAAAGTTTGATAATTTGAAGAAAAAAAATTTCTCTCTCTCTCTCTCTCTCCGTGAAATTAATTTTGTTTCCGTAATTTCGGAAAGGAGCTGCAAATCATTTATTAGGCCGATCGTCCCACGTCGAGGAACCGCAGACGCTACTCGCTGCAGCAATGTATTTTAATGCACGTAATAATCTCTAGAAATAATCGTATCGACATTCACTCACGCTCAACACGCTACAATTGGCACTTGATTTGTTTCTTATTTTTTTTGTTTGTTAAGTTTTAAAGTAAGAACGAAACGTCACATTCGACAGCACGTGCTCCCGAATCGACCGAACTGATATGCTGGAAACAGGGCTCCTTTGCCTCGTGTATAATTGACTCCCCGAGAACGGATCGAATAAACTTTTTAACCTCGAATTGATTTTGAATCAACATACGACAAAGATGGAATCGACCCGCGACGGAGTTCAGGTATAAACGAAGTAAAAGCACCCGCCAGACTATGGTTAAAGCTAGACTTAGAGGTTATGCTTAAGCTTATTTTCAATTTTTCATTCTTCCTTTGTTATTCTCGTAGCTCCGTACCTCCGCAAATATTCTTTGTGTCTCGCGCGACTGATACGTTCCTCGTGCGTCCCTGAAGTAGTTATTTTTTGCCTGTCCCCTCTTTTTGCTTCGCCTTTTTTTTTTTCTTCCCTCAACGGACACGAGCAAAGGGCAGAAGCGTTAAGCGACTAAGTTTCTTTTAACGAATCGAATGACTGGTACTTCTTTTTTTTTTTTATTAATCAGGTAACTATGAGCTTCTCGGCTTTTCTTCGACGGGACAATCTTTGTCTCTGACGATCAATGAGCATACGCGTGACGTATGACGACGCATGACGACACATGACGACGTATGGCACAGTGTCGGGAATTCATACTCGGGAGAGAGACTCTTCTCCTCGTGCTTTGGTTTTTGCTTAACTTTGTTAATTTTGTATTTTATTTTGCTTCTTTTTTCATTTGCTCTCTCGCGACTGAGGATCAACAGAAAGACAGAGACAGATTAAAGGAAGACCACCATTCGTGTTTGATAGTTTATTTTTATTAAGTTCTGCAAGATACGAGAGTAAGAAGAGGATCGACAGAGACGGAGAGAGAAAGTGCGATCGAATGAACAAGGAGAGACACAAACGCGTCCGGATGATAATCGGTGAGCGGAACAAAGAAATTAATAAAGTATGATAACGTCGTTATAACCATAATCGTTGTCATCGTCATTCTCATTGTCGTCGCGTCGCCGTTCTTTATCTTCGAAAAGAATACATTGTATATGCACCCATTGATTAATCTTTATTTGAAAATTTCTATTCTCTCTTTTTTCCTTTTCTTTTTTCTTTCCTTTCTCATTGCGTATCACGGTTAATTCTACAGTCAACCTTTATACATATGCGTATGCGCGAATATATTTATATATGTATGTTTGTGTGTATATATATATATATATATATTTTTTTTTATTCGTTCATTTATAAATAAACGCACGGATTCCAATGACGCGTGTCATCCTTACTCATTTACAAGGTGCAGCGCACGCAACGAGGCGAGACTGTTCCACTGTGCCATACGTTCAATCGTTCACACGTATAAAATCGTAGCAAGTCTGTTTCTCAAAAGAGGCTAATTTCACTCGTTTTCTTTTTTTTTATTTTTAAATTATGAACGCCCGCGTCCGGGATGCGCGCGCATGCGAGTTCAGTCGAATGCGTCGCCGTAGGGCAAAGACCTATCGTGTCCAACGGCTAAGTCAGTTTGGACGCGCTGATTATAAAAAAAAAAAAAAAAAAAAAAAAAAAAAAAAAAAAAAAAAAAAATTCCCATCTCGTCGGTATAAGAATAAATCGCGAGGATGCTTTATTATGAAATCGGAAATTGGCGTCGATCTTCGGGCGAAGAGCGAGCGTTTCCGAAAAACGAAAATCTTACATAGAAAGAAAAAAAAAGTAAACACAAAGAAAACGCATCGTTGTGCGATAACATACTAAAATTCTGAGTAACGCGGTAACATTATCCTTAATTCGTACAATCTTTTTAATTTTTCATCGTATCTTCTTTTCTTTCTTTTTCTTTCCTTTTTTTTTTTTTTCTTAAATTTAACATTCGTCCAACGGTCTCTCTTTGCTGTACCTGTTACTGTTGTGCTCTTTAACGTAATTGCCATTGCCGGAGGCTCGAGGGGTGACTGGGGGCTGAGCGAGATGGAGTTTATCATTTGGTAAGTTTTGAAAAAAAAAAAAAAAAAAAAAAAATTATTATTAAATTTTCTATGGACATTATCTGTTATCAAACTAAGCTTAGCGGGAGGAGAGTGTCGGACTCGATGAGCAACAATGAAAATCAGCATCATAGGCACGCGATAGCGTGAGAGTGCGTCCATGCACATTCTACGTATGATACACGTGTATTTCTTTTTTCTTTCATACTTCAGTTTCCTTCCTATTGGCGCGTTAATCGTTTAAATTACTTAAAACGAGGAATATTCGTTCCCACATTTATATATTTTTCGTAATTCCTTACGCTCGGGCCGACCACGGAACGGCAGAGTCACGTCATTGTATTTTAATTTCAATTTTATTTTTACACAAGCATTGAACCGATTAACGTCTACAGTACGAACGGAAGGCGTGCCGACATATTTATATATATACAGGGTGACTCCGAAAAGCGTCTGGACGTCATAGAAGAGGACATCGATATAACGAACGAACGCTCATGAAGAATTGGTCGGGCTTTTTGAAATGTTCACGGAAAACTTTTCCAGTACTGGTACATGCATGTTACGTGAATATTCAATAGTGAAAGATGCGAAACGAAAGGATTCGACAAAGTTTGGCACCGCGTGGCTGTTCAATGCTCGCTCGAGGAAGTTCTCTCTTTTTTTTTCTTTTTTTTTCTTCTTTCGTTCACCGATACCAACATTTGGTCATCGCTTTTGACAGTATTCGGCGCATTCCGTGACGGCGCGTGTTTATTGGCTATTCGCTATATCGAATGTGTATCCGAACAGTAATCATAGTAATGATAATTAATTACACGAATAAAGTATAAGTTTACAAGCGAAATATGGTGGTATGCCTGTACACTGTTCTCATTATTATCATCTATCTCTCGTTATTCATAATCATTATGATCGTCGCCGCTATCCTCATTCTCATCCTAATCATAACCATAATAATCATCAACATTGTCATTACCCCCATTATCATATCCCTTTCGCATCACATCGTTATAATCATCAACCGCATTTCTTTTAAACCTAACTTCGATATTCTTTTTAAAATTGTTATTTATGAATTACAATGAAGGTCACTATCATTAATAATGTTACTCAATTAATCGCTATCATTAAAATTATTAAAATATTTATATTACTCAATATACACAATCTGGACAAGATCACATTGCCATATATCTCATCCGATCACTTCGATCACTTCGATCGCTCCTTGTTGGTTTTTTTTTTTTTGTTAACGTTTAACGCTCATTTAATTCTTTCTTTTTTTTTTGTTCGGCGGATTCGCGAAATTCCGAAACACGCGCGTTTCGCGCAGTGTATGCGCGAAGGTGTGTTTACATGTATCCGTGTGTGTTTGCGTCTTTCGAATATGCGCGTACATCCCTCATTCAAACGGATTAACTAATATTTTCTTTTCCCTTTAATTCAATTACTTTACCTTCCATCGCCCGTATGATAATCGAGGAAAGTAATGACGTGCATATATGTCGCGTGGAGCCTTTTTTTCCTACTTCAGATTATCCCCAATTAACCACCGAACGTGTCGCGCCAAAATTAGAATTCTATCCATTGAGAAAGACACACGGTATATGTGTCATACTTATTATTTACTCGGGTCGTGTGATACGAACGATTATAAAAAGGTGATTTCCCGACCAAACAAGATAACTGAAAAGTTTCCCGAGAAATTTTGATAGAATTATCCGAAAGAGGAAGGACGCAATGATACGCGAAAAAGTTTCCAAAGGACTGCGGAAGCGCCACAAAGCTTTTTCTGTGTCACGTTCCCGGTTATTAAATTTTTTTTTTCTCGTTTGATATGATTTAGAATTAGTGATAAACCTTTATTGATATTGGTACCAGATAATAGGATATAAGGGCGCGAACAGTAGGGGCGGCACTCCTTTTTCTCACGCTATTCTCCTGCGTTACTTCTCTTGGAGAAGGACTGGGGGAAACGCTTCCTGGTGAACGCGCGGCAAACCCTTTTTCCTTGGACCCTCTCACACAAACGCATAACTACTAATCTGGACACTTGGACGTGCGTACTGTAATTACTTATATAGTTTACTAAACATTTTCTTCACTGAACAGTCTTGGACGCTACGCAGCTTTTTCTTTCCGTAGTGCGGATGGAGTTCTTGCTGACGCTCGTGGCATTTGCGAGCGTGACTTCCGATTGTCTTCGGCGGGTCGCCGATATTGTTGCGTCCCGACGGCTCCGACGCCGTGGCAGTAGTCTGGCTCGTGTGCGCCGTCGGTTTCGCGAAGGTTGATGGTGCTTGAGCAGAATTTGTTGCTACGACGCGTGTACGTGTACAGATACATTATATACGTGTATAGTAATCTTTTCGTCATTGTCTTCACCGTCTTCTTGGATCGGACGCCATGCGAAAATAATGAGCATCGAGGTCCCACGTGGACCGACGTCTTAGAGTCTTCGAGAGGACGCCTCAGGAACAATTCGAACCGTATCGAGGATAAAGTTAAGCTTGTAGTATGCCGATAAAATGCAGGTTCTGCAATAATGTCGACAGCAATGTATTGACAACCGAGAAGAGACAGGAAACGAGAAGCGGCTGTTTGAGCTTGTGTCAGTAGCGCAAACTGTCGACGTCCATGCCGACGACACCGCCTCCTCCAGCGCCGCTACTACCGCCAGTTCCACTACCGCTGCCGGCATTTCCGTTTTGCGTGTCATATTCCAGGACCAGCCGTTTTATGTGGCTCAGCTTCTCGTGTAGATAGTGAAATCGCCGTTTCGTTTCTTGATGAACTGGGTCGCGTTTCGTCTCATTGTACTTTTCCAAAATTTGTTCCTTTATTTCCTGCACACATAATTCATATGACTTAGCATACGTCCTCGTTAATTCTATTGCTAATATTTTTTGGCCTCGACCTTTCGAAAATCCCTGACCCCAGCCTGACCAAACCCGAGCTTTGGTTTCCCTCAGCTACCCTTGCGCGTGCGCATTGACTGAATTAAGCAATGTTACGACTCACCTCAGATCTTTCATAGTTCCCATATGCCATCTCCTGCTTCAGCCTCTCCTCGAGCTGAGCGAATCGCTTCGAAACCTTGGCTACCTGGGTGTGCAATCTTCGGTACTCTTCGTAGTCAGCGTTGAACTCCGCTTTGTAGCGCCTCCTTTGCTCGGCGCTGCTTATCGTCGTGTAGTATCTGGAATCAAGGATTAATTTTTATTTTCTAAAATAGGATCTGACACTGCACGGGCACATTTAACCGCGAACGGACTCACGTGAGGTAGTCGGGATACTCGGACGTCTTGGAGCTATCGGAGGTAGGCGAAACTGGTCCATAGGAAGAAGAGACGGTTCCGTTTCCAGTGTTGCTGGCAGAATAGGCAGAGCCAGACAGATCGTTGTAGGAGTTGACAGCAGTCGTATTTCTCTCTCTTTCCCTAATCTCCCTGATGTCCCTGGAATCCCTATCGCCGCGATCCCGGTCACGTTCCCGTTCGCGCTCCCGGTCCCTCCTGTCGGCCAATACTCCATTGGGACTCGCACCGTAGCCAGACACACTACTGCTTGATCTCACGAAATTCACTACCGCACCACTGCCTTCACCGGCGCCTGACGTCGTCGAGGACACCGACGACTTATTGTTATTACTGCCGCCCCCGTAGTGGCTGCCTCCAATCTGACTACTGTGGGTCGTTAGACCACTATGCGAATTATGGCTGCCGCTCGGGTTGCTAGGGTGCACGGTATGGTTGACGTCCTCACTGTCACTGGTTGGCGTCAGGCACGGTTTACCGACGCCATAGCTGCCACGTAGCACTTCACTGTTTGTTGTTCTTTCGGGCCGGTACTCGCCCCGGTCGTTGCCGCGATGCTGCGATCTCTGGTCCCAGCTGTTGATCTCGCTGACAACACTACCACCGCTGCTTCCTATTCCGCCACCGCCACTGCCGCCGTTACCGCTACCACCACCACCGCCACCACTACCACCGTTACCACTACCGACACCAGCACCGCCGCTGCCGTTGCCTCCGCCGACACTATTTCCACCGAGTGTCGTCCTTCCGTTATCCACGGTGCTAGACGTGGAGCTCGGTTCAGGCTTACGATAATGCGATATCCGTGGTCTTTTCGTTTGAAGACCATCGCTACCCTGGTAGTAACCCGGTCTCTTTGACGCGAGGACGCTCGGGGGTGGTGCCGTGATCGCCGGCGGTGATCCCGGATGGGTAGAGTTTGGTGACTGTCCACTGCCTGTTGAATAAACATCCGCTTACGTTACCACGTGCGCCAGCATCACTCTCATCGTCTGACGAGTGTCTTCAAGGACGTTTGAAAATGATTCCAAAGCGTATAAGGATTTAGTCAAGTGGATACTTGCCACTGGATCCTCCGTCGCTGGAACCTGGGGGTGTCAGATTCTGTGGCTTCCGCCTCTTCAGCATCGCCTTCTCCTGCTCAGTATAAAACGGCCAATCCTCTTGCACGTCGTTCCACACGTGCCTGTGCAGGTGGTAGGTATTGTCCCTCATAAAGGCCACCTGCTTGAGTATCGTCATCATGGCGGATCGCTCGCGATCCTTGACACCTTCTGCAACGGCAAAATCAGAAAAGCATCGGTAACTCTGGATGATCAGGATTCAAATGGTAAACGGCGTGTAAAGAGAGTCATACGGTACCTCGGACCACGAGACGATCATGCAGCTCAGGCTTCTTGTAAGGCTTCAGAGCGAGTAGATGTATAAGCCGTTCCCTGTTGTACAAAGAAAAACAGTTAATGAGAGGCGAAGCCGAAAAAAAGCCAACAAGTTCAAAGAGATCAAGAGAACGAAAGAAATATACTACAATGTTAACATTTCAACCTACTTGAGTGGCCTCCGCACAATGTCGGGCATCTTCTTCTCAGGCTGGGATCTGACAGTGGGAGGATTACTAGGGACTGGCTTATAAGAAGAGAGCCTGGACGGCTGGATGTTGGATGATGCTGGAGCAATCGCGGGTTCTCGATGCCTGGCACTAGCTGGAGGTGGTATCGTCCTTCCGTTTCCTTTCACCTTCACTTTGCGTCCGATATCCGATTGATTTGCTTTAATCACCCTGGTGCTGTAAAAGTAACAGTTCTCAGAGTCGTGCCTGATCATACATTAATCCTCATGCTATGAAAATGATCTAATGACGATAAATATCACACGTTGCTATTAAATTGACCTTCGACTTCAGCGGATGACTTAGACTAGTCGCAGTCACAAATTCCTTAGACCTTGACCATAACTAGACTAAACGAATCAGCCACCCCGACCAAGACCCCAGCTACGTCACGACCAGCTCAGACCAAGCCTGTATTACTTGGTCAGGTAAAAAATATTCTTTGGAATTCGTTGCAAAGCTTTTATCGTGTCTGCTTATATTTTTATGTATATTTACCATTTGTTCTTGCTATTCTCCTCGGCCACGGCCATCCTGTGCCTGGTGGTCTCGTAGACGTCGTCGTTGGCCTGTATCCGCATTTTGCACGGCAACGCACCGAGACTCTCCAAACTCCTGAAGGAAAAGTCAAATTATTTTAAAAGTTTGTCAAATTTATTTTTTTTTTTAACTTTTCTTATTAGGCTACAATTTAACAGGATTACGGGAGATGATCACGCTCCGATGAAGAACGCTCTCCAATGTCTCGTTTGGTTAATTAATTAACGAAACGAAGTAACAGGTGGATTCGATCATCCATGAAGAGCAACCAAAAAAGAAACTTCTTGAGTAATCGAAATCGCAGCCCCTGATTCTTGGTTCTTGCTCGTAGAACGAACCGTTATTACGCGTATTTTCTTATCCTTATCAACACTGCTCCACCCTCTGCCTGTTTCTATTTTGTTTTGATACTATCCTCCAGCGGCCTTGTATCACGTCCTCGACTGAACAGCTGATCGCAAAATAATTTTGATTAAAAAATAAATATCACTGGAGCAAATTTAATTAACCCCATCAGCCACTCTTATCTGACCTTTTTCTATAAATACATTTTTGCCTTCCACTTAATACTTTACGTTCAAATCCCTGCCGGTTGTCACGTTAACATACTATAGTCAATTACTCTAAACTGATTTTTATTAATAAACCAATCTTTATGTACGTCTTATATGTTCCTTACGTAATATCCAGAGTGTATATACATTAGACACAGATCAATTCGAAGATACTTACTTAGGACCAGTTTGTTGGACACATTCGAATCCACCCTGAGGACCTTCGATGTCCTGATTACCCGAAAGGCTAAAGGTGAATCCAGCAGATCCATGATTGGACTGTGTGGATGGGAAGGAGAGTTGCTGGAAAAAAAGAAAAATAGGATCTGGTTAATCATCAATATTCACTAGATGGTATCCGATAAGAATATTTTATTACTTTTGCTAATAGGAATCCAACATTTTTTATGATTTACAGCCTCATTCAGGTACGAGATACGCGTCTTGCCAACTGTTTTAAATAAACTTCGAATTTTGCTACCTGCGTTCACGTGTCAATGGTAAACTGTGCTAGACTTTGTATTTGTAATATTTATTCAGCCCGTACAGTCTTATCTAGTATAGCGACCCATGCACTCTGTCTACAATGAAACTGATCAGAAATTGAGTAGGGACTACTTGTGGATTATTAATCAATTGAAAGCCTTCGTATACAAGGAAATTTTTGGCTGAACTTGCTGGATGTTTTTCTAATCATTTAATCTGGTTAATGCTCATGTGATATTAGAGTAAACATAAAAACAGGGAACCTTCTTGTTGTGGGTTATCAATAAATTCTACAATTTTAGGTTAGACTTGCTGAATGCTTTTTCTAATCATTTAATCTGGTTAACACTAGTTATATTAGAGTAAAAATTAAAACAGGGAACCTTCTTGTTGTGGGTTATCAATAAATTCTACAATTTTAGGTTAGACTTGCTGAATGCTTTTTCTAATCATTTAATCTGGTTAACACTAGTTATATTAGAGTAAAAATTAAAACAGGGAACCTTCTTGTTGTGGGTTATCAATAAATTCTACAATTTTAGGTTAGACTTGCTGAATGCTTTTTCTAATCATTTAATCTGGTTAACACTAGTTATATTAGAGTAAAAATTAAAACAGGGAACCTTCTTGTTGTGGGTTATCAATAAATTCTACAATTTTAGGTTAGACTTGCCAAATGCTCTTTCTAATCATACAACACGTAACACGGACTTCCACTAATAATTTCTTGCTACTTCACCAAGTAACGGATACTTGAAAAATTTTTATCACAAAAATGACTCGGCGAATCAATCAACCAAGTATCGAGAATCTCAATAATTGGGAATGATAAGAAATTTTTTGTCTCGCAGATAAAAGAGCCAACTATCCGATTACAAAATCTGCTTCTGTATTACGATTTCAGGTGAAATCATCGTAACGACTGAAAAATATTTCTTAAACGCAATTCGTCATTCGGCTCGCTTACGGTTGTTGTTCAAGCTTAATTATTAATGTGCGATATTAAAAATCAGTATTTTCTTACAAGGCTGAGCATACTGACGTATTAATAAGTATGATTGTGTCTTTTGCGCATTGAAGGTATCTTGTGTCGCAGGGGAATAACAACTCTAATGGGCTATTAATTTTTTAGGTAAGCGACGTGACGGTAACCGATCACCAGACAATTTACGGGCTTTATTGCACAGCCAATAAACATCCTGGAATTTATCTTTCAAGGTGACCAATTGACAATACCAATCAAAATGAATTTAAGTGTGCCTAAATTTATGACTTCCCAAATAATCATAAACTGTCCACCTATTAAAAGTCATCGTATCGAAGATTGATCTCCGTCATCCGCACGAACCCATAAACTCATCATCGATCATCGATCATCCATATCACGTTATTGTATGCAGATTCAAAATCGATCGATCGATCACAACCCTATGATCCATGAAAAAAAAAAAAAAATCATCCGATAGTCTTGTCATATCTTCAAGTAGAATTTCCGTATGGTTCATCCATAGTTACTACACATAGGCGCAGTAATTACGAAACAACTGTCAAAAGTGACAGCTGACGTAATATAAGCCGAGAAAAATTGTTTTTAATAACTTTTTCTATTATTCACGCAAATTTTGTCGATCGTGTAAAAATTTATGTAAAATAAAATTTTTAGCAAAATTAAGGATTCTCGAATTATTCTCCACGACATAATTTTCTGTATCCGGCAGATTGCGGATATCTTGACTTTAATAATTTAAAGACCTAGTCAGGCTCTGCTTTAATCGTGTGTTATTTCCGTGGCTCGTAAATGCCCAGTAATTTAATTCCGAGTAAAAAGCAGACTGGATATACTTGAATTAGCTTATAGCAGAGTCGGAATTTTTTATCAGTCCCTTTAACGAGTACTAAATGTAACACCCCCCCTCCCCCCTTCGATCAGATCGAGATAGTAGATTCCATTTGATCTTTTCTTCATTTGCATTAATATTTTAACCCACCACGACGGTCAATGTCTGAAGCTTGTATTTATAAGCGAGGAATGCTGCGATTTCCACTTTTACTTTAATGACGCGACGTTTTATTTATACCACAGGAATTCTATCCTTGTGTTATATACATTGCTCAGAGCCGATTAAAACACTGTGCGGGTCATTCGGTTTAAAGGATCTTTCAAAAACGAAGTATCGTTGACGATGCGCACCGTCAGGTGAAGAATCGTTAAATATTTACAATTTTTAGCATTCGTCAGCAACATTGGTATTACGCAGATTGGCCAACGCTGTCCATTTACATATATATATATATATATATTTCTTTTACATTGTATTACTTCATAATGACGTTACATAAAGGTACATCGACTGCTGGCAAAAGAAAAAAAAAAAGCGTAGCCATTAATAAAAAGTTCACTTGACACGCGAAATTGCTTGGAAAAAGTCAATACATTAATCAACGCTGTATTCGCGTATTTTTAAATTAACAAGTTTCACAATTAAGTCCATTTTACACGTTGCCCTACGACGTCCCGAGTGTAATGGTTCGTAATAGGTAATCGATGGGGAAAAAAAAGCCACCGTTTAAGTAACGTCCGATAAAAGTAACGAAACATACGTAAAGTAGTGACCGGTTATAAATTTCTTTTTTTTTCCCCCTTTCTTTCCAGCTTTCTTTCCTACCCCCAAACCGGTCCCCCCTTTCACAACGCGTGACGCTTGCCGTGCGCACGCGCACGCGCAGTTCGCCTCTATCGAGGCCACCGAGTCTCTTATGGCCAAAAAGTCGAATTGCGATATGAAAGTCCCGCGTGAAGGGAGCCGCAGAGTTCTCGGGCCCTCTTTCGAATTTCACTCGGATAGTCGATACAGCCACGACGGAACGACGGCTCGAGGCCATTGTGATACGATATATTATTTAATCCTGTCTCGGTCGACGAGACGTGGTCGCAGTCACACGAGAAAGTAACCTGCAGGAAGTAACATTTTTCAAGATTCGCCACGTTCCCATTTCAACCGTACCGTTGCCACGCTCCAGTAGTTTATCGCCGATTCTCGAAACTGCAAAACCAAACTTTTTATCGCACCGATAGCGCAAATATTTTCAATCGGGACGGATTTTACATTTCAAAAAAATAATTATACAGTCCATACGTCTTGTCGTACTTGGAAACCGGCTTTTTTTCAAATTTCACCACCGGTCGCTGCTTATCCTATGAAAATTTTCTAATCTCGAAATACATTTTTGGGTGACCAAAAATATTAAATATACAAAAACAGTTTTCTCCTCGATGCCCAATCGATCGCAGCTTATCCTTACGCGTGTAAATTACGCAAGACGATAAAAATTACTGTATAGATACAAAACACGGAGTTTTCATATCGTAGTGATTTTCGTGTGGTGCTCGAGAGATAAAGCAGAAAGAAAAATAGACAGTAAAATACCAGTGGGGTCTGTTGTTTAATGCTTTAATGTGGCTGATAGGATTTTTTTTTATTTTCTTTCAACGATAAGGCAATGCCGCAAGGTTATCCACGAGAACCCCATCTGGTGGGGTTTTCAGGGTCAAGTCGTCGGACGTTAATGAACGTCCCGTCAGGAATACAGAGAACGAAGTGAGACGTTCTTTTTTAACGACTTACTTTATTACTGGATCCGATCGAGAGAGCCGTAGAAATCTCGTCAGAATAAATCGGCACTGCGTTCCCGGTAGGAGAGGGAGCTCTCGTGTGTCGTGGCTCCCAGGGAGGTTTAAAGTTACTCGTTACGCGTCGAAGAGAGAAAAACAGCTGATCCGAGAAGTGGGAAGAACGCGCCGACACCATTCGGGCCAATTTCAACGCGGAGTCACGACGTGCATTTCTTTACGTCTCGTTAGGCAACGCCGTTTGAAATTTTCAAAACATTCTCGAAATAGCCTTTGGCATACTTGTCATAAAAGTCTGTCCCGTAGATATATTTATTTTTTACGCTCGTTCGCATTCTTTTATTTTCTTTTTACTCATACATTTTTCCTATGTATACAAGTATACAAGTGTGTCCTAACGCACTCGATCGATTACGTTCCTAACCTAAAACTGACTTTAGACTTGATCTTTGACGGAATCCCAGCGGACACAGGGGACAGCTTTCACTGCTTGGCCGTTGTAAAGCCTTACCGCACCTACGTTACACAGCAGAAATCGTCTAAACGTGCAAATACAACTTGCACGTAGTAACCGAGCAGACGGTGTTTGCGGTATAAGAGCGACATGTAAAAGGATATCGGGTGTCCGATAAAACGTAATGCGAGACAGAACGACGTTAAATAGAATGGAAAGAAAGGAGGTAAAAACATATTGAAAAGCTAATGAAATTAACATAGGACGATAAAGATAAATTTTTAATATCGAGCTCATAAAAAACTGTCTTATAATTAAAGTCAATTATCGATTGATCACTGCCAAAGTGTCAATTCGTGGAAATTTCTAACCTCAAATTTACTCCATCGCGTCTCACGTGTAGATCCACGATTACTGTCATTGAAAACCTTACGGATGATAATAATTAAAATTCAAAATTATCATCCGCACGTAAAATTTCAAATTTTCAGATCGTTACAAATTACACACCAGGTACGTGCGTAGCATCGAAATTTTCGTAAAAATAAACTAAACCTTATTTCTGCCGGTATCGTTAGACAATGCCTAAACAAAGGAGCCTAACCCAGTGGGAAGGCACGACCCGTCGTAACCCAATGGCATAATAAAGCTGCCGCAATCTTGAGGGTACTAGGTTATACACGTTCAACGTGGAATCAGCATCCATTTAAGTGTCACTGCGGTAGTAACGTATACGGCCGGAATAGGCCAGAACAAAACTCGAGGAGGAAACGTTCAGATTTCAGTATTATTATTAGTATGGTAATAAGGAGGAGGCGGCGGTGGCGCGAGGGAGGATAAATGGAAAATATATATATATATATATGTATATACAAGTCAATGCGGCTAAGGCGACGGGTTCTCTCGCGGTTCTACGCCAAATAGAAGAAGTGATCATGTGCCCGGTAGGTGTCCCTGGCTAAGGATGAAACGCCATTTGGCACAAGGTCGGCAAGAGTGCGCGCGCGCAGATATGCACGATACGATACGTGATATATGTATATAGTGTTTGTATAGTATGTACACGTATGTATATATTTTGTATGAGACGCAAATCCCCTGTGGGCCCTTCCCTCCTGATAGTGCATATGATCTCTTTTTTCTTTTTTTATTTATCCGTCTCTCTCTTTTTATCGTGCCAGTCTTGCTTTTTGTTTTACACTGTATACGGCACTTTACATATATATTTGTTTATCTAAACGATTACACTGTTACGTGAAAAAATATTGGAATTTCGAATATCTGTATACTGTGACGCACCTAGGATAGCCGTATAGGATAATCGCTACAGGATTAGCCGAGTAATTAGGGTCGTCGCGACGAACGGGACGCGACGCTAATCGTTCATGTAAATCTATTCGATTTGAAAGATCGCGATACGGTGTAAATCTATACGGTTTTTTTTTTTTTTTTTTTTTTTTAAAGGAAAACCGGGATTTGCCGTGTCGAGGAATTTGGCGTAACGGGTTAATGGGATGTTGATTATTTTTTTCATTATGAATTGAAATGAATGAATTCAAAACCGGCTTCAAGTTGTGTACCAGGCCTGAAATCGTAGGTGATATATTTTTGGATTTTTTTTTTGAAATCGTGCATTTTGACTTTTTTTTTTTTTAATGCACGATACTTTTTAACGCAAATTATCGTTAATTTACGGATTACGGATTACAGATTGCAGGGTGGCGCAACGCTGGTCGGGGAACGGCGTTATGAAATCAGCTACTCTTTCGGTCGTACCAACGTTCGAAGTTTCTAATTTTTTATATACGTCGACCAGCCAGAGATTTACCACCTCCACTTGCGACACATCGGGTCGTCCAATGTTTGAATTTTTTTTTTTTTTTATTAACGGTACAGTTTGTACCACTGTTAATTGACGTATCGGACATTCACTGCAGACACTCGAACGATCCGATTCAACCGCGAATTTTCACGGTGCTAATGCTAATTTCGAAAGTCAATGAAAAAGTAACGCGACAACGGTCCAGTTATGTGATCTTAAGAAAAAAGGAAAAAATAAAAAGTGAATATCATACCAACCGTATATGCCAATGTTAAACGTTC